GAGCGATTGTTCCATTGGGCTTTTGTTATTTCGCAAGATATTGCCACGTGCAAATTAGCATATGTTATTGTCGCGTCAAAAATGCGAGATTGCTAAATTCGATAAAAGCGCGGTCGACGGACAATATCGCCGCGCGCGCGCGCGCGATAAAATGTATCGTAAATATGGGCCAAAAAGGATCCTCTAACATGTAACGCCCAATTAATTTGTCCCGCGGACAAAGCGGAGCTTTAACGTCGTACACTTGAATGACGTTGCGCTGTCGAATAATATGCGACGTTAGACGCGTGCTCTCTCCGCTAAAATTGCGTCTGAGTCCTCCACTGTAATTTTCAATCTATCGGACGTTAACGGGCATCCTTGATTATTCGCTGGACGGAAATACTTGAATGTGCTTGCGCGCGAGGCAGGTAACTGCAAGCTCGAAATCAAAGGAGCTTTTGATATCCTGACCACTCATCGGCTGTTCAAAAGGGACATTCGGCGCTCATCATCCTTCCTTTCTAATATGTGATTCTGTTCTCGCATTTACGACGATCTCCGTATGCGTCCTGACACGCATAAACGTCGTCCACGACAATCTCCTCCGTTTTTTCTCGGTTCTTACGCGGATTTACGACTCTGTGAGTTATTGAAATTGAAATTGTCCTGTCAGACGTTCGATCTCGCTCTCATTGCGATTAATCGGGATAATCGCATCACACACGGCGGTACATATAGATATAAAAATGTAATCTTATATGAGAAGGAAAAATTTGATGCGCATAACCAGGAATATTTATTTGTGAACAGCACAAGTTGCATCGCTCTGCTTATCTTCGTGTGACAGCGATGTGTAGGAGTGTGAGATATGACTCGGTTACTTTGGTACATCAGCTACATCAATGTAGTCGCGCGTGATCTGATTGTGCGAACCAGTTGGGTTAACCGGTCCATGTGTTAACATTCACCTTGGATATGCTTTGACTGAACAACGAGCAGATATTGTAACTGTAACTCAGCAATTGCTTTATGCTTGCAGCAACCACAACATAACTAGTAACATAATTAGTTGTTCCGTATTTTACTGTTGCATCGATTTACATAACCAGCCGACCACCCACAGGTTTTTCCGCGCATCCTTAGCGGAATCCTCCTATATACAGCCTGAAGAAGATTCTTTTAAATATAAAAGAAAATGTTCAGCACAATATTCCTCAAGTTGAAGAAATTTCTTCTTTCAAGTCTTGTGTTCTCAATAGAAAATTCTTCTAGTAAGAAGGCTGTTTTCCGCTTCAGGTAAACATATTCCTCTTGATTCAAAAGGAGGAGAAAAGTTAGAAAAAAAATATGGTAAGTTTCCGGCTAATAATCTACTTTCATTGTAGGAGGAATACTCTTTCGATAGAGATTTTCTCTTAGAATACAGGAAATGGCACTTTGCAACTAGAGTTCGCTTTTTAAATATCATAATTTGCTTTTAGTTATAGAAGAATCTTCTTGAAACTAATATATATACAATTTGTTGGGTGTGATAACGAAATAACCCCTTCTCTTTTACAATTGAGTTCTCATTATCGTCGACAATTAATAGATCCAAGCGAGTGCTCGTTGAAGTTCATGGTTATCTTTCGCTACGAGCGTCACCTCCATGTCCAAGCCGGGAAATATTTTGTCACGGCGAATCGTTGGCGGAGGGCTTGTTTGACTTAAACACGACGGTGGAATTTTTGGGTCGCTCGCGCCGGGGGAAGGTCGAGCGAAAGTCATAAAGGGCGTACTTTGGCGCGGGCGAAATTTTCATTTGACTGTCGGAGGGCAGTTACGTACGTAACATTCATACGTACATGCACACGCGTGCCTCTGTCCGTCCGTCCGTTCGTTCGTTCGTTCGTTCGTTCGTTGCGGCGCACGTGTGCTCCCCGAGACACGAGTGTGCGTATCGCGAGAGGGTGCAGAGGGGTGTATTCGCTGCCACCCGAGAGTATTATTGCGGTGCCGGCCGGCGGAGAGGGTGGCGGCGAGCACGAGGGATATATCAGCGGGTTGGCGTTTATGTGGCGACCAACTGTCGAGTTAATATTCACGCGATTCGGGGTTGGCCCCGCGCGCCCACCCTCGCCCCGAGCACGCGTCGACGACGTCGCGAAATTCTCGATTTCTGCCTCGGCTGCCTCCTCCCGCTCTCTCCTCTCGTTCGCCCTGAAGCCGGCCGTCTCTCGTGGTCGTCGCAGCCCTTTCGCGCATACCGGGTGTCTCACACCCGCGAGCCCCGGCGTGTGTTATTTACGCTCGGTAAAGATTCCGACTGTGCGACTGCACTCTGATCTAAATCCCCGAGACCTGCAACATTCAGATCCGCACGTTCGGTTGCTCGTGAAAATTGTAATTTTCCTTTACGCTCATCTCGCGAATCTCAAGACTTTGAAAATTCGGAGAGGGGAATTCGCTAGACGAGCGTTCGTCACGATATCGAGCGTCTGAATTATTGCTGTGCTGCGCGCAAAGCCAGGGGAGGAGGGAATTATTATTTTGAGGAGAGACAGAGAGAGAGACAGAGACAGAGAGAGAGAGAGAGAGAGAGAGAGAGAGATTTCGCCTCGCGGAGCCGAGTGCAACATCACGAGTTAGTTTACTAACGTACTCTACTACAGCGCTTTGCTTTAATACATCCCGTGCTTTCTGTTTCTACAGTACGTATGGCGTATGGCTTACCCTATGGCATGGCATCGCGGAACATCGCACTGTGCATCTTCATCGCTCTGCTGCACGTCAGTCTCGGTAAGAGTCGACTGTACTACTTGGCGGAGAGGGCAGAGAAGGGTGAGTACCTTCGTGTATCCTCTTCTCGGAGAACAAGAGAAAGAGCCCCGCTCGGAGGAGGTGGGGAAAGGGAGAGTTACGAAGAAGCAAAAGTTACGAGTTTTTAATCCTCACGAAATGACAGAATCTCCTCTCCTCTCCGCCCTCCCTGCCCCCCTCTCTCTCCCGTTGCCGTCGATCTCCCTTGAGCGCAACGGTATCGCGCGTCTCTGTACTTTTGCGCCGCCTCTCTTCGCTCCAGTTTCGGTAGAAATCGAATAGAATCTTGCCGAAGACACTATCGAGGTAGTCCCGCGTTTCCGCGAGGGCTTAAAAAGAATTCCCGCTTAAAAAGAAGCAGGAATTGCAAAGTGGCGCAAACGAAAGCCGCGCCGACTTTTCTTCTACTTCTGAGGGAGCAAGCGACGCGCTCTCTCCCGCGTCTATTCTGTCGTTATTTATTCGCTTATTTATTATTCCTTATTATGCGCGCATCGGATATCTTGTCGCGGCCTCTCGAATTCTGCGGGAGAGATGGCCTCTCATTATTGCGCGAGCTCGGGGAAGAGTCAAAGACGCGAGGAAATTACACTGCAACGGAACGTAACGAGAGGAAATCCGACGGAACTCGCGCGACGAAAAGGATGAAAATTCTCCTTGAATCAGATTTATCCAGCATATTGAAGACGGCAGATATATATATCGCGATAACAAATCGCAGGGGAGGCGCATGAATATGCGAATATGCGATTTGCGCGGCGCTCCGAAGAATTTCGAACTTCGTATAATCCGATCTTCGCTGAAGTTCTCTTCTTACCCTTCGAGACAACGTTCGTGTCTCGCTCGGTCGGTCGGTCGGTCGGTCGGTCGGTCGGTCGGTTTTCCATTACATAACAGTCGTAGCGCATAAGTCGCCGTACACTCGACTCGCATGTGCCGACTAGCAAAAATACACCAGCCGGCCTTCCAGCTAGCTTTTCCGCGCGATAGATCATGATAGATGATGATTACTCCACAAAGTCAGCGAACTTTCGCTCGACCGTGTTCCACGTGATTAATAAACACCTCGTTTCTCGGCGAAACTTTCTCCCCTTGCCTTCGGTCGCGTGCTCGCCCCGGGAAGTCAGCCAAGGAGCGTATACGAGACGGCGGAATACGTGTCTCCCCTTTTTTGCCCATTAAACTCCATCCTGTTACTGCGAGAGGATGATCAACGCGCGCGCCGAGTCCCCGTGAAACGAACACGTCTCGAATTAGCGTCTCGCCGGGAACGCGAGAACGCGAGGGGTGGAAAATCGCGTCCGGCGTGAGTGAGAGCCCGCGGGGGGCTCCTCCCGGCGAGTTCGCGCATTCGACGCGGCTAATAAACACCCCCAACGCGCTCGTCCATCCGCGCTTTATCCGCGCGATGAACAAAATTGCGGCCTGTGTCCGTTTCACTATAATGCTTACACAACGATACCACGGGACTTACACAATGAGAACGGGGAACGGACAGCGGTAATGCGACAATGCACTTACGTCACTGTAGTTACACGTGTATATCGGCGGCGAGAAAAACGCCAGGCGTCACAATTGCACGCACGCCACGCTGCGGCAAAAAACACAGGGAACGCAGAGCGATGCCCGTCCACTTATTTTAATTATCGCGTCACAGCACGCGGCGCATAATCGTCGCGCGTCCGGAGAATTTTCCTCGAAAGTCAAATTCTTCCGGCTCACCTTGTGTACACGACGTTATCAATCCTGCCACGTGGAAAGAGTCGTTATTATCGCGCGGTGACGTGGCCGGCCGGTCGCTCGTTACGCGCATAAATAACGCGGCGATCTAGATTAAATTCGTTCGCCGCGCGCAAAAAGATGATGAGCCGCTCGTATCCGACCGGATTCCGAAATTTCCGTAATGTGCCGTTCATGCATCATATTCGTAACCGGTACACACGACTCACTCGCAAACACACACATACGCAGATACACAGATACACGCAGATCGGCAGCAAGTTGGCGAGCTATAATTAAGGATTAACTTTGTGGATCGTTAGTCGCGACGCATAATCGTTAATTGCATAATTCAGGTCAAACGCCGCCCAAGTCCGAGGTCCTGCCCGAATTTTTGGCACTCTTGGAAAACCACACGGTCACTCAAGGTCGTGACGTCTCCTTCACCTGCGTCGTTAATCATCTTCAATCTTACAAGGTAACTGCATTCACCCGCGCGTATGTGTAATTAGCTAGTCGATTAGGGCCACACCGCTCGCGAAATCGTAAGTAGCGGCCTGGATCGCATTTCCGTAAATACACTCGACGCGAACCCCAGACAGATTGTATTGCCAGGTAATTGCAAGGTAACAGTGCGCGTATGAAGAGAGAAGCAGAGAGAGAGAGAGAGAGAGATAGAGAGATAGAGGAAGAGAGAGAAGGAAGGGGGGAGACGTGGAAGGGAGAGATACGCCGTCGATTATTTCGGAACGAAACTATGGTAGTCTTAACTATGCACTCCACTCGCGAACGGGCCATTCAAAGGGAAGCACCACATATCGTGTCTCGCATGCAACGATCACTCGAGACACTCGATCTTGCAGCGAAAGAGAAACGTGCATGATAACAAGAAATTAGTACCATGTGTTCGCAAGGAGAGGAGAGGAAATGCTCACCAATCCGCCGATCCTCTTTAATTGGTAACTAAAAAAATTCACGTAGTCGTTTGCAACGTTCAGATAATGCAATTATGTTACATTATCTGCAGTATCAATTTTGTTGAATATTAATTCAATGCGCGCATTATAACGACGAAATAATAATTTATACATATAAAAAAAAAGTGACTTGGGTTCCCTTAAAAAAAGAAAGAATTTCAAGTATATATACCATCTATTGGCTTGCTCGAGCCTCGTCGAGCTCTTAAGAGACGAACCGCAGGAGCGAAGCCGCAAACGTCAAGATGTTTTCCTTGAATCTGCATAACGAAACAATGCAAATCAAGCGAAGCCATCGAGTACTCGGTGCGTTCTTCACCGTTGGAGGGATAGAATGAGGAGGAGGACGCACCTTGTCGAGACGACGGGGAACCTGGCACTTACCTATCGACTAACCCGACTCGGTTTCGCCATGCTCTTTCCTCCAGCCTGATGTACTTACACGTGTGCAGCAGCTATAGATACACAGAGGTCGAATACTAAAGGGACCCTGCGACTAAATAACAAGGTCAATCCACTCATCAGAAGTCTTTTCACTCTAATTACGGATGGCGCTGAAAATTGCTGTTAATGAATTTGCCCTTGAGGACAAGTTATCACCAATTGGCCGTAAACAAATTACAGCCAATTGCCAATTGGCAATATCATATCATTACAAATGTCGTCAAAATTGCCGAAACGTCATACATACGAGGGTATGATTGTAGAATTAGAGTGAATAAGGATATATAGTATATAGGGAAATAATCTGCTTATCTTTATTTTAATGGATATATCATACTGAATCTCGTGAAATTAATTCGCCAAGTTAGGGTCGAATTAGGGGTCGCTTGTTTTCCGGTGTAATCTCTCTTGCTTCGCGAGCACAGATCGCGATTTCGACTCGGAAACATTCGGTCCTCGTGTATCTGTGTATCCCTAACGCTCTCGCGCGCGAGTTTATTTGTGCACGAGTGTGTATGTGTGTGTGTGTGTGTCTGGAAAAAGATAGCTTGCAGCTGCGTACTGAGCTCCAAGAAACCCCAGGTCCGGGACAGGACCGGCGAGTAATTCACTTTCAAGAAGAAGTCCAAGTTTGATTGCGCGCTTAGATCGCGACAATCGTTTCTATCGCGTTTCTAACGCCGTTGGAGCGTGTTCGGGGCTCGCCGTCTTGTCGCTCCCGGGTGCGCCGGAGGGTTATGTCTTCCTCTTCCTCTCACTGTTTCTCTCTCTTTCCCGTTCGGAAAGAGAAAAGAAACGACGAAAGAAAAGACATAAATCAGACCCGCTAATATAGCGCCGTGAATAGTCCTGATTTTTGCCGGCGAGAGCTCATCCTCTCGTCGTGCTGACTTTGCGACGCCGTTTATATGCGCCTTCTATATGCGCCTTCTATATACGCGTCTCAGCAAGAGGGTGATTAAGCGTCGAAATTGACGTCAAGAATACGTTTGGTTATACAATCGTCAACCGTAAGTAGAACCCTTCGTTTTTCGTCGCTGTGTAGATAACAATTAGCTCGAAATATGATCTTTTCGAGAAAAAATTGTTTCTCCTTTTTTTCTTCCTCATTTAATTCAGCACTAGGCGCATCTCTGAGCGGCAGCAGCTGGCCTCGTTTATACGCGAATTCGTGCTTGATGAACGTCACGCTAAATAAAAGTTGCGAAATCAGACCGAATCGCGACGCGCATAGTCTTATGATTTTGCATGCCGTTTGCATGCATTTATTTGTACGGATTTTACAAACGACATCCGCCGTCATTTGTATCCGGTGTATCTGCGCGAAGTCGCGAGTTTTTAATAGCTCAGTTTCCTATAAATAACGCGCGATAACGTTTAACCCTCCCGCCGTTTCGCTTCCCCGTCTCGTTTCGATGTATTGTTCGCGCAAAATATTATTTTTCGTATTCCGCTTTGTTTAATCAGCCCGACGTGCATTTTTTTCTACATAATATCAACTTTTTTTACAACACGGATATATTTTATTCTCTGCGCCGTTTTCTGCACGGCCCGATCGAATAAGAGAGAGAGAAAGAAACAGACGAGAGAGAAACAGAGAGAGGAGGAGGCAGAAGCATGAGACAAAATTTGTCGTGCAAACGTGAAAAAGAGAGGAGCCATTCAGCTCTCAGATGCACATCGGAAACTGTTTAATTTAGCAGCTACCTCAAACTCGTCGAATTACACGTAACCGTATATCCAGTAACATCTAATCTCAGAAATTTAATCCTTTGCCGCAACCCCATGCAACGCAACTGTATCTAAAGTCGCTAGTGTGCTATGTCTTTCTCTCTTTCCCTCTACCGAAACTCGAGCTTCCAATTAGATTCGAAAATAGCGGTTACGTTAGTGAAATTTATTGGAAATTAATTGTAAAGTCTAAAATGGCTGTCTCATCGCGGCGACCCCTTATAGAAATATCATACTAAGAATCATTGATAATTACTTATTTTCAGTATTAAAAATACTGGATAATAAGTAATTATCAATGATTCATAGTGATATTAGTTATAGATGATAGAGTTATAGATGATATTTCTATAAGGGACGTCATTTCCAAAACACGGGGCGTCTTGCGAAATGGATCTGTATTGGAAAAAAATTGCGATAAGATTTCACAGTCCGCAGCCTTCCGACCAAAATATTCCATTTCGAGGATACACGCTCCTGCACGGCGTATTTTCTCATTAAAAGCAAATTTTAACGAATCTCTCATTTCGCAGACGACCGTTTCGAATATACAAGGTAGATGCACGCCAAGTAAACACTCCGCCGAGGCAGGAGAGAGGGAGGGAAATGGAGAAATGCACCTAAATACGGAAAATGCCGCGCGTGCACATCTAAAGCCCAAGTACTAGATATAATAGCTGAACGCCACCTAATACCGTCGTAAACGTAATACCCCGAGATGCGATGCCGCCGTGTAGATCGCGCGCATCTCTGATATATCGGATATCCGTAAGGACATCCGCCAATTGCTTGGCATACGAAGGATCATACGGCCGCGAGGAGATACGGTCGAGAAGAATATCGTCGCCGCGTGAAAGCGTTATTTCCAACAGGTAGATCGCGATACTTTCTTTCCCCCGTTCTTCCCTCCCTCTCCCCTTCACTCTCTTCGCCGCGTATTTATGCGCGCCTTAAATTCCACTGCCGATCGAGATTTTGCAACGGCCTTTTGTTCGCGGTTTAAAAGCCCTTTCATTCGCTCAATGGCCCCAACGACGTCTGAAATATGACAGATCGAGCTGTCGATCCCCGCCGCCGCCACCATCGCCGCCACCACCACCGGGCGAGTCAAGGGAGGAAGGTGGTTGCGAGCACGAAGGGGCGCGGAAGAGTGTAAACCCGAGCGGAATTTGAGAGTGCAGCTGCCCGAGCATTGCGCCGCTATGAATGCCGATAAGCGCCTTTTGCGAGACACCCGCGACGCTTTTTAAGCACCGCCAGCGCCGGCGCTAATGAAGAGTTCGCGCTCTCTTCGTGCAGAGCTCGGCCTCGATCCTCCCTCTCGCAGCCCGATGAGAGCAGAATGCAAGGGCCGTCGTGGAAAAAAGCCAGAAATTCCCTTCCCTGCACGTTCCGCGTAAGCCGCAAGCGCGTTACTTACCTTTACGGTGCCCTTTGTCGCGATCTCGCGAGAAGCTATTGTCCTGGTGGCGATTAACGGATTACGCCGAAGCTAGAAAAATAGCTTCGTTTTCGACGCGCGCGCACACGATTGTCTCGGCGCCGTCGTCGTTCTCGCGGTCCAATTATTAATTTCTGCGGTAGTCGTATCCAAAATAAAATTCCTGTCGCTCCCAACATTGCGCCGATTGCGCTTTACGAACAATCGATTTATCGAACTTTAGCCACCACGCGCACGGGCGCGCTCGTATTTATGGAAATGCTATGTAAATATTAAAGAGAAAATATTATTTGGGAGTGTCTGTCGCGGCCGAAATTAAATGTACGGTTTTACAAATATTGCAATCGCCAGTGATATATACTAAAATTGTTTTAATATCCATTGCGCGCGAGTGGGACGTTCACGTAAAAAATTGCGAGTGTTCTGAAAATGTTTGTAAAACAATGCCATGGAATTTCGCGAAATGTAACTTCGCGCTGCGCGCAGCGCGTCGCCGGGACGTTACCGTCGCAGAAAATAGCGAATTCACGGCGAGAGAACGCGCATCGATTGCGCGGAATTCCGGGACAAGTGATAGGCGAATGAATATTTAGACTTGAATATATTGATAAACGGTCCTCCCGCATAATTTAAAAAAAAACTTTGCTTCTATATTTAGCCGCGGGCAAGTCATATCTGTCAGTATGGGCGAAATGAGCACTTTTATTACGTCACGCGCAGGTCGCCTGGATAAAGTCGGATTCGAGGGCGATTTTGGCTATTCACACTCACATGGTGGCGCACAATCCGCGTTTGTCCGTCACTCACAACGGCCATAACACATGGAAGCTGCACGTGACTAACGTTCAACCGAATGACTCCGGCACGTACATGTGTCAAGTTAATACGGATCCTATGAGGAGCCAGGTCAGTAGAGCCGCTGAACATTAGCGCGACAGTCGTCGTTCTCCATCACGTTCCTCTCGCCGAATAGGGACGATATTCCGACCCTTTATATAAACCTGAATGCAACGTATACGCGCGTGCACGAACGCACGTATGTCCGCGCTGAGTGGAGAACATTCACTGGCAAAAACACGCGTGTTGCAAACGTGCGCAATTCACTTGTGACAATAACCTCGTTTGTAGAGTGAGAAGAATATTCAAAATTACATCTAGCATTGTTTTGATTGTCACGCGCGTCTTTATGACGCAGAAAGAGTCAGGACAATTTTACATTTGGAAAATCTTGAAGAAATGTTGTTGAGATTTTCTCTGGAGATTCACAGTAAAAGAAAATTTCAGATGCAAAGCGCCGATCGCGTTAGTTGTGCGTTTTCTTAGTCACACTTCGTGATTATTGCGAATTTTTCGAGAAAAATTAGCGGACATGATCTCTGCCAAATTCGCAGTGAGAAAATTTTAGATGCAAAGTCAGTCTTCTCAGCTACACCTCGCGATTGTTGCAAACTTTTGGGGAAGAATTTGCGAATGTGACTTTCCGAAAATTGTGAGATATTTGGATGTTTCATAGAAGATCTGGAAATCTTCGGACGGAACGTCCGCTCGTGTAACTTCTTTCGGTTCGCGGACGTTAAACGCACGTCGGAGCATTCGTTCGCTGACGAAAATCCAATAACGTCACGCTTGATTTAAGTATCCCAGCGGGATCACACGGGGTCGAGGGCACTTCTCGTCCGGATCGGTCCCTAACGAGTACGAACTTTGTGCGCAGACCGGTCACATGAATGTCGTGATACCGCCTGACATCATGGACCTGGACGACACGGCGGACCAGTTGACCACGAAGGAGAACGGTGATCTGCAGCTGCGGTGTCGCGCCACCGGTACACCGACACCGGGGGTGATCTGGCGGCGGGAGGACGGCAGGAACATTACGCTGAGGAACGAGCACGGCGTCAAACGAAGTACGTACGCGCCGTTAACATAAGCGATCCACCTCGCCGTATCTCGGCGAACCGACCGGAAAAATTGAATAAAGGGTACGAAGGGAGCGGAAGAATATAAAGCAGAAAACCGATGAAATATCCAAAAAGAAGAGAAAAACTGAGAGAGAAAGGGAGAAGTGGATCGAATCGAGGATAAAGTAAAGAAGAAATCTTTCATGTTTGTCCGTTTCGTTTCGTTGAAAAAGGCGGTGATGTATGCTTTGCAATATGCACACAGGACGCGGAACAGTTAACGCTGACAGGAACGTGTCAAAAAACCAGAGGATATTTCGCGTATGATAATGAGATCTCACGTCCCAATTTGATTAGTTGTTAATTAACGGCAACGCTTATAGATTCTTGGGTGAAAGAGTGAGTAGCGGCCGCTCCTGTCGCGGCTTTAAAAATGATGGGTTAAAATTCCATCATGTCCCGTTCGCGAGGCGCGCCATTAACGTTGAAATGTGCTTCTACCGGAAATAAATGGAATTAAGCGACTTTACTGCCGGGTAACGCCTGATTAACGATTATCAGGCGCGTAACGTGTGCGAAAAAGGTCAGTTCTGGTAAATCGTGGAGACGACGAGGTCGGACTTAGATCGAGCCAACGACCTAACCGCAGATGAAATATTTTTCGTGCGCGCGGATCACTTTTAGAATGCATCTCGACGACGACACGCGGGCCGAGCCAGCCGTGTGCTTCGCCGCGTGTCCCGCGGAAAAGCAGCCATCCGATTAGCCTCCCTGACTGTGAGTGATGGATGTTGACTTTACATATATTTCCTCTTCGCCCACCCTATCGACTCGCGTACCCGATTGCAATATTCAGTGTGTACACTGCGTCGCGTGAGCGTGTGCCGCGGCGGTATCTTCATCCCGCCAGTGACTTCGTCGTCGTCTTCGCCCCGTAGTATCGGAATTTTCGATTTTACATTGTTTCCTCTAATGACCACGTCGCGCGTATACGAAGAAGATAAGGCGGACTTTGATCTTCTCGTGTACTTCTCGGGATTTCCAGGAATATTTCGAGTACGCGAAAGCGCACGAAAGAGGACAATTTTCCGCGTAAACGCAAAAAGAGACGCGGCGC